AAATAGTTATACACAAATAATAATAATAATAATACTCTCGCTAATTACGGAGATTAATGAACTTTATTATTTACAAAGTACTGTAGCAAAATTTTGCCGTACACAAGTTAGAGGGAACAGAAGAAATAATGGCATTGCGTTTGTTCTTTATTTTAACAATTCTGACAATGCATGAAGTGGTGTGACTAATTTAAAATGGGTAGCGTCGATTGACATTTTCTGATATTTTTAAATACCTATAATAAGAATCCCTTATTTAAAATGGTTTTATTTGGATAGATGGCTATTTTTGAAAAATGTAAATACAAATAAAAACCTACAATAAATAGGTACATATTGTATATAATTAAAAATAAGCTTCAAGATTTATTTTCATTTTTTTAAAATAATATTTAAAGTAGTTCATGCGCAAGACGGCTTTTCTTAGGAATTCAATAAAATTAAAATATAAGGTTAAAAAAAATGTCTTTTACGTACCTAAGTAAAAAAAATTTTTTGACCGTCTGTGAAACGAGATATTAACAATGAAATTGTGCATAATTAACAGTTTTGAAGCCTGTCATGTACATAAGCAATGCATTTATTTGAAGATATTTCGAAAATGGTTCTTACTATATTTTTTTAAAAACTAATGTAATGTAAATCAAAAAGTTATACAATTTTCTCAAAAAACGTTGAATTTTTTAACCGTTTTGGTAAAAAGATAGATTTCTAAAAGAAAAATATGTTTAAAGCAGTCGACGCGTAGTGGGGTACAATGATTACAACTTGGCAACATTGTTAGTTCAGAATCACTGAATTACACTCGATCAGCTAAGAGGTTGTTATAACCTCGTGAAGTGTTCTTGAAAAATTAATTTGTCTACTGTATTTGAGAACTGGAATCGACGCTTCTGTTTGAACCAAAACAAAACCTTAAAATTAGTATGAGGAAGTCACAAAATTTCTATAGGTACCTATACACTTGATATCGCACCATTCCTATATTTGTGACGTTGCCGGATGGATTTTACTTGAAATAATAACGTATCCGTACATAAGCTTACATGTGTTGTGTTCAGTATCCTACAAAAATAACATTTTTCAGCATTGAGAATCTCAAACTATTGGCGATATTTTTGTGTACGACTTCGCGCGTGAACTACCTTAATAATTACTACATGCAAAAAACTCATTTTAAATTGGTCGGTATTAGATACCATAAGTATTTAGTATATTTACCTGCAGTAAAATTGTTTACAATTCAAAACCCATTGGTTATATTTAGGCAGTACCCTGCGCATATGGGATCATTATTATGTTCCTCCATAATCCAAGGGGGTTTATCGTTTTCATTATTTTGTCTTGAAATTGTATCCTGATATTTCGAAAGAAGAGTCACTTCCATGGTTTTATGCAATATTCAACATTTTAACTGACAGTTGGCAACGTTGTAACCATTTGCAATTATTATACAGGCTCCTTATACGTACGAATAATTAACAATATTTTCATATCAATTTGCTTCTAAATGCCCAATTAAACGAATACATGAATTTCTTAGAATACTGAAGACTTTTACGTAAAAATTATGATGCGATAGCTAATTGTACAAAAAAGGCTTACCAAAATATGAGTGGCATGTCACGACGCTTCTGTCAAAAATAAGGGTAGCTTAGATATTAGATTTAAAAGGAGTTTGACATTATGTGTCTGTGTCCACCGCGACCTTTTCAGATCTATTATGGGATTCCGTTTGTTTTAGAGTATGTCATCTAAGCTTGGACTTTTTTATTAGGTTTATTTTCCTTGACAGTGGCATCCACATGCATGTAGTTACATGTGTCTGGCTTTTCTTCATCTAGTATAAGAAATCTGAATCTAGTTAGGCTTTCACATTGGTGCAGGACGTGGATTGATGTTTCCTTTTCTAATTCACAGAACCCGAATAAATTAAAAAAAAAAAGAATAAATTAGAAAATATCTTTATTATATATATCTTTATTTATTTATTTAAAAATAATTTAATTTTGTAAAAGAAGTGAAAACTTACTTTTTAGAAGATAAAAATAAATAAATAAATAAATACCTTGGGAGATTCTACTTCTATTACACACCAACTATGGTTGCTTATTACATTGTTCTTACTTCTTTTTTGCAAAAAAACGTAAAATGTATACGTGTATTTGATACGCCAAAATTACAAAATATCGCCCTAAAGTGGTTAAATTATCTGCAGTTTGCGCTAGTATCGCTTTTGCTTCCCCTACCATAACTTCGCAATGAGCGAATATAATCATCATACGTTCCCACATATACATTTTCTACACTACTTCTCTCAACGAAGTACGTACTAAAAAAAATTATAAGTTTTCAATAATGGGTTTAGTATAATCAAAAAGTTTACTTTGTGTTTATTAAACTACAACTGGGAGACAACAGTTCTAAGCTATTTTTCACAGTATTTTAGACCTCAATAACACTTAGTTTCAGAAACGAATTATTTAACTAGGTCTAAGTAGACGTTTGCAATAAATACTTATAAATTACCTTTTACCTATATCAATACGAAAGTATGTATATAAAGACACTTGTTTACTTTTTCTATTAGCAAAACATTGGATTTCAAATAAAATGTTCGATTTTATTATAGCTAAATAAATCTTCATGTAAAAAGTGATCTGAACAAACTTTGGCATCTTTCAGTTTTGAGATCTTGCTCATTTATTTTTAAGTTGTTCAGCCACAATGACATTAGACAATGTCTCTCGGAAACGTGTAAACGTATATACCATAAAATAGCCAGTTTCTACAATTAGGTATTTTTATATCAAGAAATCAAAAAAACCCTAGCACAGTTGTTACGCCCATGGATATCTACATTATTTACATTTCATGAGATTGATTTTGACATAACCTACCTGTGAAAATAGGTTTTGGGTGTTTTTGGTCCAAAATGTTCGGAAAACTATGCATCTCTTTACTATTTTGAAATGTATAATTACGTTTGTAAATAATTTCTTTCATATAAATAAATAAAACAAGAATATTTCACTAAAATAAAACACCGAATGACATGATACTTTTAAAAACAAAAACATACAGAAACAGGGTTGCCAAATGTCCAGTTAAAATATAGTATTTAATGGTTAAACCGATGGATCGTAGTGAACAAAATCTAAAAACATCTAATTTAAACACCGATTCAATGCAGAAGAAAATTAAATGAGAAATTTTATGAATATGATCCAGATTCCTAAATGAACTGTTAAATATTAAGCTCCATATTAAGTATTTCGAACCTTGAAACATTGGGAACTAATAATTATTATCCTTATACGTTTAACCGAAAGTGACACTGTGGCAACCTCTGCTGGTACCACCGTTTGTTGTGCATGCGATTGTGGACCTTATTATCATACGACAATTGTTTATGTAAACAAGGCGTATCTATTCCAATACATTATCGAATGATTTTCTTTTACTATACGGAGCTCCGAGCAATTACTACTTTGATTACTATACGAGGCAAGAGAGAGGTCCGACACGCCCAACATAGGGCGCGGCCATTTTGAACCCTGTGACACAGTTTACAGCTAAAGAATCAGATCGCTCACTCTGCGTCGGCACTTTGGATCTCAATGTTTCAGTTTATACACTGTGCAACTCGGATAATACAATATATGACGACCGCCTATAATAAAACAGCAGTCTTCTGCGTATCCTGAATTTGTATCCCTGGAGTGGATGTTATTTCGGAACTTTCAACTGGTCCGAGTGAGCTAACTGATTCTTTAGCAATAAACTGTGACTTCAAAAATAATATTCACTGACACTGACAGCAGCAAGCAAAATATCAGGTGCGTTTCAATCATCCGCGTCTGCTTCCGGAATTGTCGGTTTAGTCGTTTTAACCTGTCAGATTAAAACAAGAAAACTGACAATTCCGAAGCAGAAGCGGATGATTAAAACGCACCTATTAAAAATATTGCGCCAAGATGTAGGCAACACGTAATAAGGGTTCAAAATGGCGGAGTTTTCTATCTCCTTTTAAAAGGCACTCAGAAAGCAGCGCAGTGCGACCATTCTCCGTATAGTAAAAGAAAATCAAAGTATGTGACAAGAAAATCAAAGTATGTGGTCGGACCTCTCTCTTGCCTCGTATAGTAATCAAAGTATGTGCTTAGGGCCGATTCCACCGTTGTGTTAAACGAAGTTTAAATTACTAAACGAAGATTAAAATGACCCTTGTTAATGTAAGAATGTCATTTTAATCTTCGTTTAAGGACCAATTCCACCATTGTGTTAAACGATGTTTAAAATGACATTTTTACATCAACAATGTCATTTTAATATCCGTTTAACATAACGGTGGAATCGGCACTAACACAACGGTAGAATCGACCCTTAGGACTGATTCCACCATTGTATTAAACGAAGTTTAAAATGACATTTTTACATCAACAATGTCATTTTAATCTCCGTTTAACACAACGGTGGAATCGACCCTTAGATAAATTTATGTACTTCTAACATTTTAGCTCATTCAAATGCCTCTAACCATAAGTTTCTTCTAATTTGTCTTTTAGAATACTAAACAATTTTATTTTTTTTCTTAATATTCATATTTTATTTTCATTTTTTCTCCTAAAACGACGCCCATGTTCTTTGGAAATAATTCTTCATAGAAATTAGGCATTCCAACGACCTGTCCAAATGGCTACCAGTGGGTAATGACAGTAGATATGGCAACCCTGTTGTCATGTTGACATTAATAGGGTCAATGATACATATGTAGTTATATAGATTGCTCAAAGCTGGTCGTTTGCGTGCGGCCATATTGCCTGGCCTTACTTACTCTGAGGGCTGCACAAACATTGTCTATTGTCCTCTCTGTATTACTCTGAGATAGTTACAAATGACTTATCCTTAGGTTACTATATCACTGGTCGAACATGTTCTATGAATTTGAAGCTTGAATCGTCAATGTCACCTGTCACATAGTTCTTGAATTTAACTGTATCATGTCAATTATAAATTTAAAACAAAAACAAAACACAAATCTAACCTAAATTGTCAGTTAATGAAAATCTGACTTTTAGTTGATGTTTTAATTTAAAATTAAATCGTGTTTTAAGTGTGCATTAATCATGACACAAAGACAAATAAAAACCGCTCCGCATGGACTTCACCTCGATTCTTTGGTATGTGAAAAATACATGAACAAAATAGCAAATCGAGAAAAACAAATTAACCAAATATTATCAGCAACTGCAAGAGGTAGGGAGAAAATTAAATCACCAATAAATGAGCACCGGGATATAAAACCTCGACCTAATGTAAGACAGCAAAATGTATCTCCAACACTGACAAAGAATGCAAAGAGAAATGTAATGCAATATGCAGATGATTCTGCATTAGTGGAAGGATCAGTAAAACCATCTAATAGACAACGATCGAAATCAACAGCTGATAGGGAGTGTTGGAGTCAAATGCTAAAAGAACATAAAGGTGGTGATAAGTTTTCTGTTTTTGGAAGTTTTGATCCTCTTCGTACCTTGCATTTTCTATCTAAAGAATTACAACTGCAGTTACATACGATTTTGCCAGGTTAGAAATGTTTAATTATTATATTAAATTTATTGAGTTAATTGTGGTGAATTAAAGAAGCCTTACATTTTTTATAATGCAATTTTTCAATCATTTTTGTATGAATTAGTGAGTATCAATGAGAACTTCTTTGCTACGTTTGATTTTCCCCCAGTGTCATTGCTAGTTTTAAAATCAGTGTGATAGTTTAGTAGAGGTAACATTAACAAGTTGACATAACCAAAATGTTGGTTTTTATTTATTTTAATTCAAAAATAAGTAAAATAGTTAACTTCTGCTAAATATATAAACCTTTTTCTAACATATATTCTTTATTAAAGTCTTGGTTTTAGATTTAAAGTGGTGTTACTCAACCTGCTGTAGTAATAACTATTAGATTATATACATGTCAAAGATGCCTCGATGAGCAATTAATGACAACTGATAGGTGATCTAATATCAAATGTACTAATTTAAATGAGAGTGTATATACCAAAGATTAGCACATCCTCGAACCATACTCTTGAATTACACACCAATTGATGTCCACTTAACCATCACCTATCGGTCATTGATCTTTGAGGCATCTTCAGCATCTACACACCCTTAGTATAAAAGATCCTATGTTGACATTTTGTATATAGGTATAACAACAAAGTTAATGTTTGTTTGATGCAAATTAGATTTAAGTGATATATTTACCTAGACTGTCATCTTTTTGTGAGTAGATATACTATGTGAAGAATTCCTATAGTTTGGTAAGAGCAAAACACATACAAACCTCACTTATACCCTTTTAATTCCAAAATGCACTTATACCCTTTTTATTCTAAGGCCCTCAATTATAAATGCCTCTCAAATAGAATGTAACTGCACACTCAAAACAAATTCTTGTATTCATCTTATAAAGTACATATTAGCATACAAATTTCAAGAACTATTTCTTTGAAATCACCTAATTATAGAATGTTAATAAAAATGTGTGGAATGCCTTTTAATTTAAAATATAACAGTGTTGCCTGTTCATAACAAAAGTGGACATCAAATCTGTACTTAATTAAAGATAGTTTTTTTTTAACTGAAATAGAGCATATCCTTAATGAGCTGCTGCAAAAATCTACCACAACAGAGGTTTAAAACAAAAACTTAAATTGCTCTAGGTATTATATACAATTTAACTTTTATGTACTTACCTTGAAAGCAAAGTCTTTTTTAAATTTTTAACCAAGAGAGAACAACAATACATTTTTTTTATCATTTCATTCAAAGTTATTAAAAAATAAGATTTAAAGTTGTCTTATTCTATCAAATACAGTTTTTACAGAAAGATTCTGACCAAAATACTCAAAATAATAACTATAACAATTATTTTGTGCTGATTTGAAATGGAAAATATGGACCAACACAACATTATTACTAAGTTGCAAGTTTAACCAACATAATACATTTTTAAAACCAGTTTCATAATGTTCCACATTATGCAACTGTCACTTTGTATGTCAAAATTAGAAAAATAAAATTATGTAACTTCTGTTTATGGTATGTGAAGTATTTCCAGAAAGCTACTATATTTTCCCAAATTAAATAGAAATGTATGACATAGATTCTTGGTATATACATTGCCAAAAACATAAACTTTTTCCACACAGTATAAGGATTGTCATAAACATATCTTTTAATGACATCAATATTTTATTTTAAGATGTATAAAATATTATTATAATTGATTGAAATTATTGATATCTATATGCCAATGCAATATAAGTGTTTACTTACTTAGGCAATTACTGTTTTTTATTCCTGAAAATAACTGTTTCATATTCCTACATGTAAAGATTTATAAAGAAAGATTTAGTTAAAATTTAGTAAAGATTTAGTAAAGATTTAGTAAAGATTCTGTAAAGATTTAGTAAAGATTTAGTAGATTTAGTAAAGATTTAGTAAAGATTTAGTAAAGATTTAGTAAAGATTTAGTAAAGATTTAGTAAAGATTTAGTAAAGATTTAGTAAAGATTTAGTAAAGATTTAGTAAAGATTTAGTAGATTTAGTAAAGATTTAGTAAAGATCTAGTAAAGATCTAGTAAAGATTTAGTAAAGTTTTATTAAAGATTTAGTAAAGATTTAGTAAAGATTTAGTAAAGGTTTAGTAAAGATTTAGTAGATTTAGTAAAGATTTAGTAAAGATTTAGTAAAGATTTAGTAAAGATTTAGTAAAGATTTAGTAAAGATTTAGTAAAGATTTAGTAAAGGTTTAGTAAAGATTTAGTAAAGATTTAGTAAAGATTTAGTAAAGATTTAGTAAAGATTTAGTAAAGATTTAGTAAAGATTTAGTAAAGATTTAGTAAAGATTTAGTAAAGATTTAGTAAAGATCTAGTAAAGATGATTTAGTAAAGATCTAGTAAAGATTTAGTAAATATTTAGTAAAGGTTTAGTAAAGATTTAGTAGATTTAGTAAAGATTTAGTAAAGATTTAGTAAAGATTTAGTAAAGATTTAGTAAAGATTTAGTAAAGATTTAGTAAAGATTTAGTAAAGATTTAGTAAAGATTTAGTAAAGATTTAGTAAAGATTTAGTAAAGATTTAGTAAAGATTTAGTAAAGATTTAGTAAAGGTTTAGTAAAGATTTAGTAAAGATTTAGTAAAGATTTAGTAAAGATTTAGTAAAGATTTAGTAAAGATTTAGTAAAGATTTAGTAAAGATTTAGTAAAGATCTAGTAAAGATGATTTAGTAAAGATCTAGTAAAGATTTAGTAAATATTTAGTAAAGGTTTAGTAAAGATTTAGTAGATTTAGTAAAGATTTAGTAAAGATTTAGTAAAGATTTAGTAAAGATTTAGTAAAGATTTAGTAAAGATTTAGTAAAGATTTAGTAAAGATTTAGTAAAGATTTAGTAAAGATTTAGTAAAGATTTAGTAAAGATTTAGTAAAGATTTAGTAAAGATTTAGTAAAGATTTAGTAAAGATTTAGTAAAGATCTAGTAAAGATGATTTAGTAAAGATCTAGTAAAGATTTAGTAAAGATTTAGTAAAGTTTTAGTAAAGATTTAGTAAAGATTTAGTAAATATTTAGTAAAGGTTTAGTAAAGATTTAGTAGATTTAGTAAAGATTTAGTAAAGATTTAGTAAAGATTTAGTAAAGTTTTAGTAAAGTTTTAGTAAAGATTTAGTAAAGATTTAGTAAAGATTTAGTAAAGATTTAGTAAAGATTTAGTAAAGATTCTGTAAAGATTTAGTAAAGATTTAGTAGATTTAGTAAAGATTTAGTAAAGATTTAGTAAAGATTTAGTAGATTTAGTAAAGATTTAGTAAAGATTTAGTAAAGATCTAGTAAAGATGATTTAGTAAAGATCTAGTAAAGATTTAGTAAAGTTTTAGTAAAGATTTAGTAAATATTTAGTAAAGGTTTAGTAAAAATTTAGTAGATTTAGTAAAGATTTAAAGATTTAGTAAAGATTTAGTAAAGATTTAGTAAAGTTTTAGTAAAGATTTAGTAAAGATTTAGTAAAGATTTAGTAAAGATTCTGTAAAGATTTAGTAAAGATTTAGTAAAGATTTAGTAAAGATTTAGTAAAGATTTAGTAAAGATTTAGTAAAGATTTAGTAAAGATTTAGTAAAGATTTAGTAAAGATTTAGTAAAGATTTAGTAAATATTTAGTAAAGGTTTAGTAAAGATTTAGTAGATTTAGTAAAGATTTAGTAAAGATTTAGTAAAGTTTTAGTAAAGATTTAGTAAAGATTTAGTAAAGATTCTGTAAAGATTTAGTAAAGATTTAGTAAAGATTTAGTAGATTTAGTAAAGATTTAGTAAAGATTTAGTAAAGATTTAGTAAAGATTTAGTAAAGATTTAGTAAAGATTTAGTAAAGATCTAGTAAAGATGATTTAGTAAAGATCTAGTAAAGATTTAGTAAAGATTTAGTAAAGTTTTAGTAAAGATTTAGTAAATATTTAGTAAAGGTTTAGTAAAAATTTAGTAGATTTAGTAAAGATTTAGTAAAGATTTAGTAAAGTTTTAGTAAAGATTTAGTAAAGATTTAGTAAAGATTTAGTAAAGATTCTGTAAAGATTTAGTAAAGATTTAGTAAAGATTTGGTAAAGATTTAGTAAAGATTTAGTAAAGATTTAGTAAAGATTTAGTAAAGATTTAGTAAAGATTTAGTAAAGATTTAGTAAAGATTTAGTAAAGATTTAGTAAAGATTTAGTAAAGATTTAGTAAAGATTTAGTAAAGATTTAGTAAAGATTTAGTAAAGATTTAGTAAAGATTTAGTAAAGATTTAGTAAAGATTTAGTAAAGATTTAGTAAAGATTTAGTAAAGATTTAGTAAAGATTTAGTAAAGATTTAGTAAAGATTTAGTAAAGATTTAGTAAAGATTTAGTAAAAAAAGATTTATGATTTACAAAGATTTAATAAAGATTTACAAAGATTTATTAAAGATTTAATGAAGATTTAATAAAGATTTATATAGATTTATAGTCACGTACATCATTTTAAATTCTACTGTGCTGATAATTTGTGCATTTTTTATAAATTTTATCTCCAAATTATTGATTTTAATTCAAGATGACGATAAAGTCCAAGGAATAGTTTCTGATATGCAATATGCCTTGAAGAGGGTCCCACCTGAAATAGCATCACAAGTTCATTTACTACAAGGTCTAGAAATTCTACAGGGAAAAGGAAAACTTCCTATTGGAAAGCATGTAAGAGAAGACCATTTTATGTAAAGTATAAAATTTCATTCTGATTTTTTTTTGTATCACTACTATTATCTTCTAATTTTGCATTAAATTTTCAATAAAAAAATTGTTTAAAATGTAATTTTGTGGTATCTATATCGATGATTAATCACTGAAGTGGCATAACCAGACAACTAAGTGGGTGTGTACCATGATATACTATGTGTTGCATACTTTTTACTCTTTCATACACTTATTATCTGAAATATATCGTGGTAATGCTAAATACAATTAATTTTAAAATAATAACAAGGGATAAGAATAGCCTAGTCGTTTTTCATCATTGATACAGACGATATAAAGTATTAAATATAAAAAAAAAACAAATGACAATATTAATTTAGATAAACATATATTAAGGTACTATTGATTAGTGTTGGTAAGTGATGAACCTCTTATTTTTAATAACTAGATTCGAGAGGAAATAGAAACATTAGACTGCGGTGTACAAACTGTTAATATAAAAACTTTCGAGAATAGCGAAAAGCTGCAAAAGAAAATGGCCGAAGGTACGTTAAAATTGGAATCCAGTTGTAGACAAATGGAAAAGATTTGTACGGATTTGAAAAAGGAAAAAAATGAATTGGAAGACGAATTAGATGAAGCTAAAGACGAAATTGAGTTGTTAAAGAAGAAAATCAGTAAGTTGGAACACGAAAATGTAAGTTAGTGTTTAAAAATATACAGGGTGTAAGTGAAAAGTTTGAATGGATAGGTTTCTGATATCTGTAAAAATGCTGTGATAGAAAAATATATGTTTTGCAGTAAGATTGAGCAAATAAGTAAGAAAGTGGAACGACGTTGAAGCTTGTTCATGCTTTATAAATATCTAATGATATTTCGGTAAATTTATCTCCTCTACGAAACATTGTTTGAAAATTGCATCTTTTTCTTTTCAATACCCGACTTCATTATATAAACAGGCACTTTTCTGCTAAATTACGTCAGCCATTCTTTTAAAAACACAGTTATATAGAACTGCAAATAAATAACCCCCATAGTACCACTTCACTGTTTGTATAAACAACGTTTGGCATATTAATACCTAGTTATATGAAAACGGTAACCAGAATCTATGTTACCTTCACGTGGTATGGACTTAATGTATTCTAGACTGATTTTGTTTGGTTTTTGGTTCGCAGTCGGAACCAACGGATTCTCTTCCTCTAATTCTCGCTTCATATGAATATTCTTCTTTCTATTGCTCTTTATAGTTTTGCCCTAATCAAATCTTGTATATTAATAAAAATAATTTTTTTAGAACGAAGTCCTCAATCCTCGTATTAATTCACTAGAAGGCGAAAATCGCGCACTCAATAACCAACTCAAAACTCTATCGTCTAATTCGAATAACCAATTCGAGCACACGGTTAACAATCTCAAGTCTCAAATTGCTGAGCTGAGATGTCAAAAAAATGCTTCGGAACAGGAAAACAATAAGCTCAAACACCAAATTAAAGTGGGCGCTTTAGAAAGGGAAAAATTCATCGCTGTATTGACATTGAGGGACACGCAAATCAATGAGATTCGAACAGAAATGAGCCAGTTGCAAGAGCTTGTTAACGAACAACTCATGGAAGTGCATAGCAATGCTTTCGAAGGGGCTCCTAATGCAGAGTGCACTGGTAAGCAATAATAATAAGTAATAATAAGTAGTAATAGGTAATAATAGGTAATAATAGGTAATAATAGGTAATAATAGGTAATAATAGGTAATAATAGGTAATAATAGGTAATAATAGGTAATAATAGGTAATAATAGGTAATAATAAGTAATAATAAGTATTAATAAGTAATAATAAGTAATAATAAGTAATAATAAGTAATAATAAGTAATAATAAGTAATAATAGGTAATAATAGGTAATAATAGGCAATAATAGGTAATAATAGGTAATAATAAGTAATAATAAGTAATAATAAGTAATAATAGGTAATAATAGGTAATAATAAGTAATAATAAGTAATAATAAGTAATAATAAGTAATAATAAGTAATAATAAGTAATAATAAGTAATAATAAGTAATAATAGGTAATAATAGGCAATAATAGGTAATAATAAGTAATAATAAGTAATAATAAGTAATAATAGGTAATAATAGGTAATAATAGGCAATAATAGGTAATAATAAGTAATAATAAGTAATAATAGGTAATAATAAGTAATAATAAGTAATAATAAGTAATAATAAGTAATAATAAGTAATAATAAGTAATAATAAGTAATAATAAGTAATAATAAGTAATAATAAGTAATAATAAGTAATAATAAGTAATAATAAGTAATAATAAGTAATAATAAGTAATAATAAGTAATAATAAGTAATAATAAGTAATAATAAGTAATAATAAGTAATAATAGGTAATAATAGGTAATAATAGGCAATAATAGGTAATAATAAGTAAGTAATAATAAGTATAAAAACATATTTTTGGAGTATTTTAAAACCACTTTTATTTTATATGAAAACTCACAACTATTTTCTAGATAGTATAATAATTGTTTTCACTAAAATCTAGAATTACAATTATTTGTATTAGGGGGTGTATATACTGATCTTATTCACAAAACATCTTTAAATTTACCATGTAAATAAATCCTTATAGATAGAAATGCCATTATAATAAATTTTCAGTAGAATTGGGCGATATTTCACGACCTGTGATTTGGTAAACTGATATTCATTACATGTTTTTCTATTGATTTCATAAATGTTTTCCACAAAGATATTCACGAATATTTAATTTGTTATTGATTGGTGAAAACCTAACCTCAATTATTTGAATGTTACTACATAATCCACATACTTTGATTTTCTTTTACTATACGGAGAATGCCATTTTGAACCCTTATTACGTGTTGAATGAATGAATGAATGAATCCGTTTATTTAGCCATTGCTATTATATACAATTATTTTTTTTTATTTACATATTTTTTTTGTTATCTTACATACTATACACAATTGTTTAATTTGATTCTCTAAGATATTTACATAATTTTTTGTTAAACAAATTCAAATTGCTAGAGTCTTTTATTTCTTTTGGCAGATTATTAAAAAGATGTATTCCATTAATTAGCAACGATCCCATTAAGAAAGTTTTATTTGAAAAATTTATGTTGAAATTTTCATCGGATCTTAATTGTCGAGAATGTAAGTGTTGCCGCGTAACTAGTAACTTACTTAGATATTTCGGTGTTAATTGATGCATCATTTTATAGATTACAACGAGGGTTGCCTTTTTAATATTCTGTTCAATAGAAAGCCAATTTAGGGTTTGTAGCATATTTTTGATTGGAGTGTAAATATTACATTTTAGAACAACTCTCCTACATTTGTTTTGGAGTACCTGAAGTCTGCTTACTTGTTCTTTATTACATGAAAGTAAAAGTGACATACAAAAGTTAAAGTGTGGATATACAATTGTGTTATAAACAAGATTTCTACTCCATTGAGACAAATTTGAAGCTATTCTTCTAAAGAACCCTAATTTCTTCCCTAATTTCCTACATAAGTAGTCTGCATGACTGTTGAAAGTCAATTGAGGATCTAAAATAACTCCTAGGTATTTAATCGTATATACTTGTTCGATGGCAATATTGTTTATACAGATGATAAAATTTCGCTTCGCAAAATTGTTACAGGTCGATTTAGATCCCATTGCCATAAACTTGGTTTTATTTGCATTTAGTTTTAATTTGTTGATACACAACCAGTCATACAGAATACTTAGCTCACTGTTTAAGGTGCGAACAGCTTCTTCAAAATTAGTAGCCGCGACAGATATGAGTGTGTCATCCGCAAATAAACTTACAAAAGATTGTTGTAACGCGTCCTTTATGTCGTTTATATATATATAATGAACAATAAAGGGCCCAGGACACTGCCTTGTGGTACACCGAAATTACATTCCGTTCCATTGGACACACTGTTGCCTACTCTAGTTTGGTGGTATCGGCCTTGAAGGTAGTTGTGGATTAATTTTATGGCATCTGATTTTATACCATATTTCTGTAGTTTGTAGAGTAGCAGTTTCCGATCAATCGTTTCAAAAGCACGCTTTAAATCCACAAATACACTCAAAACTACTTTTCCTTTATTAATTTCCTCCCTCCAGTTAAAACATGCAAATTGCAATGCCGTTTCACATGAATGACCATCACGAAAACCAGACTGCCCTGAGTACAAAATATTGTTTCTTTCAAAGAATAGCTTCAATTGATCTCTTAACACAATTTCAATAATTTTATCTATAGTTGGTAGTAAATTAATTGGCCTAAATTGTTCTGGCAGGGTTGGCGACGGAACTTTAGCTATTGGCACGATTACACTAATTTTGAGATCCGAAGGGATTCGTCCACTAGTTATCACTGTATTTACAATATTTAGCAAGGGATATCTAACTACACAAAATAGGTCTTTAAGAAGTTTTGGACTTAAAAAACCGTCACTCGAACTTTTATTCTTTAGACTGCTCACTATTTTTTGTAACTGGCTGAAAGTAATTTCTTGAAATTTTGCTAATTGTTCTTTCTGTACTTCAAGGTCATTTCCAAATTGCAGTAAGCCTTTATCTTCTATACTCTCAGCTAGATCACGAATGCTATCACTGTAATATTTATTAAAGTTTTCTTCAGGTGGTCCGGAATAGCCTTCAAAATTGATTTTATCTATTGGCAGATCTTCTTTCTTCTGTCCAAATAACTGTTTTATTGTTTGCCACATCTTTTTGCTATCTCCTTTGGATTTGTCAATTTTGTCTTCGTAGAATAATTTCTTTTCTTGGCGTAAGACATTGACTGCCTGGTTCCTCTTGTTTTTATAATCATTCCAATCCTCCTGAGTACCTGTAAACTTAAATCTATTGTACGCTGCGTTTCGTAATTTTTGTGCCTGTGTAACACGTATATTGATCCATGGTGTCTGATTGCATTTAATTTTATTAATGGGGCTAATTTTATTGAGAGAGTCTCGAACATTATTTGAAAAATTATTATATAACACCTCGACATCCGTTGATGTTGTTTCCCAATGCTTTCCTATCAAGTCCAATATAATTTTATGTATATTTTCCTCATTAATATTCCTTCTCCAGATAAATTTGTCTACAGATGTATGATTTAAGCCAGGTACATTTATTCCTATTACATCATGGTCTGATATTTTAGGAAAGTTTCTAGGGAGTTCAGCCACGGTGAAATTATTAGTTATAATGTAGTCGACGAGAGTAGCCGATGTTGGAGTAATGCGTGTTGGATTTTCAATAATTTGTTTAAATCCGGAGTCAATTACGATATTCTTTATTTTATTAGATGTACTGGTATTTGATTTAAAATCTATGTTAAAGTCTCCCAAAATAATAGTTTCATCGTCGTTAATAAAATCGTTTTTAAAAAGAGCTTCAAAGTAATTTAAAAAATCATGAACATTTCCGTTAGGAGAACGATATACTGATCCAATAATCAACACTTTTCCATTTATTGTAATTTTAATAATTAATGCCCAATAATTTAAAGTAATTGCAACACTATGTAGAATAGAGAAGTTTACATTTTCATTTAAGTAAATGATGCACCCCCTGTTGTTGCCTACATCTTGGCGCAATATTTTTAATAGGTGCGTTTTAATCATCCGCTTCTGCTTCGGAATTGTTGGTTTTCTTGTTTTAATCTGACAGGTTAAAACGACTAAACCGACAATTCCGGAAGCAGAAGCGGATGATTAAAACGCACCTGATATTTTGCTTGCTGCTGTCATTGTCAGTGAATATTATTTTTGAAGTCACAGTTTATTGCTAAAGAATCAGTTAGCTCACTCGGACCAGTTGAAAGTTCCAAAATAACATCCACTCCAGGGATACAAATTCAGGATACGCAGAAGACTGCTGTTTTATTATAGGCGGTTGTCATATATTGTATTAGAGAGTTGAAGTATTTCCAGTACGTTAACGTAAACGTGAACGCAGAAAAATAATGTTTACGTTGCTGTACAAAATAGAGAGTTGAAGTGTTTCCAGTACGTTAACGTAAACGTGAACGCCAACGCACAAAAATAATGTTTACGGTATAGTCCAAAATATGAGTTGAAGTTGTTAAACGCATCGTGACATTTACGTATCATGACAGATAATGACAATTATTATTAGGATTTCTTTATTTCCAATTAAAACAGAGGTTACGAGGATGTATCAGAAAATAACGAGACTGGTGCTATAGTATAACAACGAAACATTTATTTAAAAAAATTCAACAACTATCCTTCGAAGTACTCTCCATTCTGTTGAATACACTTATCCCATCGCTTTATCCACTTATCATAAACTTCTGAGAAACCATTTTTTGATAGTCTGTTTAGTATACCCATCACAGCGTTGTTGAGCTCTAAATCCGACTCAAATCTTCTACCTCTCAATTTTTTGACTTCAGGAAACAAATGGAAGTCACATGGAACAAGGTCAGGAGAGTAGGGGGGATGACCATAATTTCAACCCCTAATTCTTCAATTGTTCGTTGACAAATCATTGATCTATGAGCCGGAGCATTGTCGTGATGCAGCATCCAGCCAAAGTCCTGATAAAGCGGCCTTTTTTTCTTTAATTTTGCCTTTAAGGGTCCTCGAAGTACATTAGAATAGTACTCCCCTGTTACTGTATGTCCTCTAGGTACAATGTGATCGTAAATAACGCCAAATTTATCAAAAAAAATCAGGTGCATCACTTTACCAGCGCTTTTAGCAGTTTTGGCCTTCTGCGGTCTTGGGCTGCCTTTATGCTTCCATTGCATACTTTGAGACTTCAATTCAGGATCGTAATGATAAAACCAACTTTCGTCACATGTAGATTAGATTAGATTAGGAGTTGGACGTTATTTGTCCTTGTCCACCGCGACCTTTTCAGATCTATTGTGGGACTCCGTTTGTTTTAGAGTATGTCGTCTAGCCTGGTCTTTTTTATTAGACTTAGTAGCTTTGACAGTGGCTCCCGCATGTAGTTGCTTCTTCTGCTGGATTTATGACACTCATGTGCCTTTTGAGGCGACAGTGTCCAGTAAGAAGGCCTACTGTTATCCTAACGATTTGACGTTTTTGATCCAGTAGGTCTTTCGTAAACTTGGCCGATGGTTCCTTGATGAACTGTTTGGCCTGTCTCAGTCTTGGATAGTTGTTCCACCATTCCTGAGACTCTTTTTGCATCCATTGTTTAATGGATGCCTTGCACAGTGCCTTAGCGACTCCACAAAAGGGTTCAGGGCCTGTCATGGCCTTATCTGAGCCTTCTCGGGCTAACTCGTCGGCCTTTTCGTTGCCCTGATATCCCTCATGGCCTGGAACCCAGGCTAAGGTCACCTTATTTTGACTACTTAGCTCTGTCAGGTCTTCTAGACAGTCTTTCACCAGTCGTGATTTGATTTCTGGTGAGAGAATTGCCTTTAGAGCTGCTTGGCTATCAGAGTATATGGCAATAGTTTTGCCTGATACTTGCTGATTTAATATTTCTCTTGCACAGTGTTGTATGGCTATTAGCTCAGCCTGGAACACTGTTGCATATTTTCCTAAGCTTAGTGAAATCGTTGAATTCGACTTAGGTCCATAGATTCCAGCACCGGCTCCTTCCTTGGTTTTTGAACCGTCTGTGTACCAGACGAGTTCAGCCTGTACGGGAGGTCCCTGTTTCCAGGATTCTCGGGCTGGTATTTGAATTTGAAAATTTCTTTCAAATTTGTATGTGGTTATGGCTCTATCAGTAGGCATAGCTAGAATATTATCCCTTTGTACTTGCTGATATAGCCTTGTGTGGTCGGCGCTATGTAGTTGGCTTATTTGGTTTTGTCCCTGCATTAGCCTGTGAATAGCTGACCTGGTTTCTCCTTGTATGAAGATGTGCAATGGCGTGAGATTTAGTAATACCTCCATTGCTGCGGTCGGCGTAGTGCGCATAGCCCCAGTAGCACTTAGACAGGCAAGCCGCTGAATGCTAGTGAGTTGGCCTATTGCACTTGCCTGCGCAGTTTTGGTTACCCACGCCACTGCGCCATAGGTTATCATGGGTCTTATTACCCTTGTGTATAACCATATGGTCATTTTGGGGTTTAGACCCCAGTTTTTCCCACATATTCTTCTACAGCTTACGAGAGCTATTGTAGCTTTATGTGTGAGTTTTTTGAGATGTTGATTCCATGTCAGCCTTTGGTCAAATATGACTCCGAGGTATTTGGCTTCTGTGACGAATGGGATAACTGTGCTGTTTAGTACTAGTGGTCTTAGACCTGTGAGTACCCGTTTTTTTGTGAATGATACAACTGTTGTTTTTTGTGCGTTGATGGACAATTGTTCCTTTTTGCACCAGTTGTTCACTATGTTTAGAGCTGTTTGAGATCGCTCCGAAACTGTACCTGCAAATCGCCCCCTGACGATGATTGCTAGGTCGTCTGCGTATCCTAGGCACTGGTAGCCTTCTTTGGACAATATTTTGAGTAAGTCGTCCACGAGAACTGACCACAGCATTGGAGATAGTATTCCTCCTTGTGGGCAGCCCCGTGTAACTTTTGCCTGTATGGTTGCCTTTCCTAGAGTGGATAAAATAATCCTGTTCTCTAGACAGGCAGTGATCCACTGGCATATTGTTACTGGGACGTTTCTCCCTTCTAGAGCCTTGGTTATTGACCTGGTTGAGGCGTTGTTAAAAGCTCCTTCAATATCTAAGAAAGTGGCTATTGCGATTTCTTTGTCATCTATTGACTTTGAAAGCAGCCTGTTTAGATCGTCCAGCGCTAGGTCAGTTGACTTTCCTGGCTGGTTCGTCACATGTAACCACATTATTTAAAAACTGTGGGTTACGTTGCAATTGCCTTTTCCACTGCTGACAAATTGTCACTCGATTCGCTTTTTGTTCATCGGTCATCACTTTTGGAATCCATCTTGCCGCGATCTTCCGGTACTCTAAATCTTCATGAATAATTTTTTGAGTGGTACCGTAAGACAAATTAACATTGTCAGAAATTCGTTTTATGCCAATCCGGCGATCATTTTGTATCAAGTCGTTAATTTCTGCAATTTTTGTGTCATTTCTCGCAGTTTGTGGTCGACCGGGACGAGGTTCATCTTCAACTGGTTCACAACCGTCTTTAAACTTTTTATGCCACTCAAACACTCTACATAGTGATAAACTATTATCTAGATATGCACCTTTAATCATTTCAAAAGTTTCAGTTGGTGTTTTACCCAATCGAACACAAAATTGTATCGCGTATCTTTGCTCCACTTTCATTTTTCGATGGGTACGCAAAACACACAATTCAATAATTAATTTGTAACAAATATCAAAAGTTAAATCAAAGCCTACTTGCGGGGTAGTACATTAAATATAAGGCTTTCATGTCTCATTTTTTAGGTTATAAAATGTTACCTCTGAAAGAAGTTATAGCACCAGTCTCGTTATATACTGATATATCCTCGTATGTTATTTGCGTTACGTGCATACGCCAGAGCCCGCAAGCTTACGTATGTACGTAGACGTGAACGTGACGGATATTTGAATGCGCATGCGTAGATGTCAATTTTTACGTATACGTTTGCGTTCCTAGCATCACTTCAACTCTCTATGATCCGAGTTGCACAGTGTATAAACTGAAACATTGAGATCAAAAGTGCCGACGCAGAGTGAGCGATCTGATTCTTTAGCTGTAAACTATGTCACAGGGACCTCTCTCTTGCCTCGTATAGTAATCAAAGTATGTGACATAATCACAGTAACGATTCAAAATATAATTGACAAATCATGCCATCATCCAGCTCATTTCTTCTTCTTCAATTTTAATTTTTGCCAGGTCTATTCGGCTTAGGTTAATTGTATTGGAGTTTTTATATAAAAGGTGGATATTTTAAAGGAAATTTCTTTTTTGTCACAGGATGCACATCACACCATGTGACAATTTATAATCTTCAGATTCAGAAAATTTTGACGCACTATCCTTGCTACTAAATAACTAATCACATCAGACAATATTCACTTCTCGATGACTTTTCTTACGGAAACATTCACACCTGACTCCCGATTCTGAGACCGCCATTTCACCATGCTGCGCAACTGATAATTGAACGTTCCAACAAATATTTCTTATAGTTTGGAAACGTACTGTACATTGTTCTAACAAATGTCCCTGATGTTTTGTACTGACTGCCAGAGCGGTTTGCATTTATGTAATTATGTAACATATTGTTACTCTAGTTCTTCGTAAACTCAATTTATTTACAAACTCACATTTTTACAATTAACAAATAACCTCAACTTACAACGTCTATCATAAAACTAAACTGTAATGTCTAATCATCGTCTTATATAGCTCTACACAAGAAATGGAAATATGTTCCGCCCTCCAGACATTTCTAGACTGTTATTTTCTTTTATCTGTACTTTTACTTGTAACAACCGCAACACACTGTAGGGTAATGGATGACATTGCTCCCTCCTCTCTAATTATTCGTCCCGAATAACTTAATTGCTGCGACCTGGATTGATCCAACAGGGAAGATATAGATCACAGTATGACGCTAACTTTTCAATGTGTTTACTTTCCGTTGATAACTGAATGCGGTAGATCAGATCGTTGATTTTCTTGAGATGGTGTAATGGCCTTCCCAGTAAAGTCCTCCGGTGCTTGGGAAATTTACAGTCATCTCAAAATGTCTCCTAGTGGTATGTATGTCGATTCTAGCTTCTGCTGCATCACTGTTGACCTTCAAACATTCACGCGTGAATACGTAGATCTTATCTATATTTTCTCTTAAGTTCTGTACGTGGGAGATGTACAACTCTCTTCTTCACAAGGATTCTGTCTTTCAAAAAGAATATCATTCATTTCCCTTCCAATAATCATCATAGATGGAGTATAAATTTGATTTAAAAGACCCAAAATTACTTGTTAAAGATAATTTTGTGTGGCGTTTATATTGTTAATTACCCAGACTGATAAATAATCAATGAACTAGTTTTTTAATTGCTTTCCTCGATGGTAGGTTCCAACTGTCCCGACGGTAAACCAGACGATAAAATGGGAAAAAATCTTTTTGCTGAAGATAATACATTGTCTACAATTCTAACAAATGAAGATTTTGCTAGAGGGCCTAGGAATAATATGTCTTCCAATTCTTTCAAAGAGTTACAGTCTGGTGAAATTGATATGCCGAATATTCCTGATTTAGAAAATATGATAAAATCATTGCATACTCAAGTGAGTCTCAATTTCATGTAAACTAAACAGTAATTCTTTGAAGTCAGGTACAAAGGGCTTAAGTCACAATTTTTCAAAATTTAGATATAAAGGCACAAATTTAATACTTTTTTGTTAAAGTGCATTGAATTGGTATAAAAGCTGTATGTCAAAAATGTCTCAAGTTTACATTTTCTGTCCTTATTATCTGACGTTAGAGAATTTAATATAGAGAAGTTGAAAACGGTTCTTATTAAATAAATATTCGTTTTAGGATCAAAAAGTTCAAGATCAAATAGCCGCATTAGAAAAGTTAGATTCCCATTCTAGTATCAAGACAATGTTTGATGAAATTAAAAAAACTGCATATGCCGTCGCCAAATCTCAAAGAAGTAACAAATATAGTTGAAGACTGTGAGTTATAATCTGTGATGTGACCCGTTTGAGTAATGAGAGTCGATGTTTTTTTTATTGTGTTGTAATTATAACTTTTTCGATATTGAAAAAATAAACAATTTCATTTTTTTTTTCTAACGTCACTAATGTGTACTGTACAATTTTAAATGTTGAACAGGACTTTTCATTTTGACTGATAGGTTAGGTTGAAAATGAGTGGAATGATCTCATCGCCTTCCACTGTGACCCAGATGGGTCTATTGCAGTTGGTGAGTATGGTCAAGCGAAAAAACCAAGTAAAGATAAGCATCTTTATAAGGAATTTGTAGAGTACAATAACTAACTTATAGTTCACCGTACAAGCCACACTTTTTGATGAAGGTTATGGTTGAATTAGGTAAGACTTCTTTAAAGTCGGGTAAATCTAAAAACCTGGAACCTAGTTCCTTTCAGACCGGAGCAGGTACATAGAATGTGCTCTGCAGACTCGTCATCCACGCTGCAGAATCGACAGTCCGATGTTTGTTGCAGACCTATCCTTCTCATGTGTCCTGTCATCAGTCCAGTGAAAATGCGTAGATCTTTCCTACTCCATTCTCGGATCTGAGCAGAGACGTTCATAGAAGGGTTGGTTATAAACGCCTTCGAATAAGTTAGTCCTGGGGCGTCTCTCCAGTTCGTGAGTGTTGCACTCTCCGTCCATTTTGAGATAATTCCTTTGGCAGTGCTCTTTGCAATGCCCAGGAATGGTTCTGATCCTATGAACACAGATGATTCGGTTTCTCTTTTAATAATAATAATAATAGTTTATTATTTATCATATAAAACAAATGTGGAATACAAAATTTTATAGCAATTAATGATGATAAATAAAAGGTTATAGTTGGGTCTGCAGACCAATTCTTCCACTATAACCTACAAATTTAAAATTAAATATAATTATATTCCTATACCCATGTCCTAATGTAATTAAAGAGGAAGAGAAAAAATAAATATAATAAATAAATAAATAAAAGTGACAAATACTAGACATTAAGTACCTACCTAGTGCATTATATTTATATACAACTGAAAGGGTAATTATATTGCAAAGATTTTTTAATATAAAAAAAATATATATTTTAAAAATATTTGCAGAAAATTATAATAACAATCAATAAAGAACAAAAAATAAAAACGTATAACATTTCCGCCAGAAAGGGATACAGCAAAAGTTAAACCAGTAAGATGAACATTTTTTAGTGTTGTTTATTAAATAATCTTTTTTTATGTTTCTTTTTAAATGATTTAATAGAAAGGGCAACATCAGTTTCACCAAATAGGTGGCCGAAGTGAGATATTTGATACGAGAACGATCTTTTGTACATTTCCTTATAGTGTTTAGGTATATTAAGTGTATTTTTAGTTCTAAGTTGAAGATTGTGAACATCTGTTCTATAGGTGATTTTCTCATAAAGATATGATGGGGTTTTAAATTTTAAAATTTTATGAAATAGACAGAGTGAGTGCAGAATCCTTCGATTATACATGCTTAACCATCCTATTTCCTTTAATTTGTAAGATATAGAATGCGGCCTCTTGATACCGAAGATCATACGCATACAGGAATTTTGTACTTTTTGTATTCGACCCAAATCATTGCTGTCAATGCATGGTGAGAAGACTACATCCGCATGGTTAAAGTGCGAAAGAACTAGAGAGTCACATAGTGATATTTTAATAGAATAAGGTAAACTATGTCTATGTTGATATATCATTTGTAGGGAAGAGTATGCTCTTTTTATTTTCTCACTTACATGTTTTTTAAACCTCAATTTGGAATCGAAAACTACACCTAAATTTTTGCAGTTGTCACTAAATTGTAACGTATTTTCATCTAATTTAATTTTGAAATGAATTATAGCTTTCGCTTTCTGTTGCTCATTGCCAAAGACTATTGCGCATGATTTTTTTCCATTGATAGTAAGGAGATGATCATTAGAATATGTAACAACTGATTTTAAGTCTTGATTAATTTGATTTTGGGCTTCTAACATATTTTCTATTTTAAAATGATGATATATTTGCGTGTCATCAGCATACATGTGATATTTACAAAATTTTAATGCTGAAGAAAAATTTGACGTGTATAAAGAAAATAAAAGAGGTCCTAAAATGCTTCCTTGTGGTACTCCTTGCATAATATTTATAGAATTAGAAATATTGTTGTTCAACTTAACACACTGACTACGATTTGTTAAATAAGAGCAAAGAAGAGAACGTGCTGATTCACTAAAACCAAGGTAATGCATAACTGTCATCAGAATTTGATGGTTTAGCATGTCAAACGCCCTGGAATAATCTATTAGAACCAAAACAGTCATTTCATTTTTGTCAAGACCTGACAGTATGTCATCTGATATTGACGCCAGTGCAGTCGCACAGCTATAGTCTTGACGAAAGCCAGACTGGAACTTGGGTAACAAATTGTTCCTAGACACATGATATCTAATTTGTAGTTCCATAGTCTTTTCAAATAATTTGGATAATACTGGTAGAATACTTATACCTCTTAAATGACTCAGTTCCGTAGGACGTGATATTTTTGGTATGGGCAATACAAAGGCTTTTTTCCAGCTTACCGGAAAATACCTTTTAGTTATACATTCATTAATTATATGCCTGATATAAGGTATTATGAATGGACAGCACAGAAGCATTATATGAATGTTTAAACCATCAGATCCCAAATGCCTTGGATTTAATATTTTTTAGAATCTTAAATATGTCTGATTCAGATATGGTATTAAAGGTAAGTAAGGAATTCACGGTGCTTTTTACTTTGTCGTTATAAAACTCAACAACTTTTTGATCTGGATTTAGATTACTCGATGGACCGACTAAAAAAGAGTTAATTTCATTTACGTTTCTTAATACTACTGGTAATTCTTTATTACATTTGTTTCCAATGTCAATATTTTTTAAAACTAACCATTTTTGTTTAGTTGTAGAATTATTTAATTTAAAATGTAGAAAAGTCTTTTTATTGCAGCAGATGTAAAATTTCTGAGTTCTTTATAATAATTCCAATGTGCTATTACTTTTGTTTTTCTATATTTTTGTAATGCTTTATCCCTTAACTTTTGCATTAGTTTAATATTATAAGTGATCCATGGAGGGTTTTTATTTTTTGCTGTATTGATGGTAGTTCTTTTTGTAGGTGCATGTTTGTTAAGGGTATTTAAAATATTGCTATTGAATAAATTTAATTTCTGATCAATATTAGTTATGTTATAAATCAAATTCCAATTTAGTGACTCTAAATCCTGTTCAAATTGATTAATATTAATAGCGTTCAGATTTCTATAAGTTATTGTTTTAATTATTTCTTCTTTAGTTGATACTTCAAAACTGCCATATACCAAAAAATGTCTAACCAAATTGGTATCAGTTACTCCCGAGTCATTTAAGTCAATATTGCTGTAGATATGATCAATTAAAGACATTGAGTTGTTAGTTATATGTGTAGGTTCAGAAATATGTTGCTTTAAACTAAATGATTCCGTGACTGCTAAAAGATTAACGCACGTGTTTGACTGTATATCCAAAAGATCTATATTAAAGTCGCCTGTACAAATTATTTTGTCACACCCAGTATATATATCAACAAGTGTATTTTCAAATTTGTTTAGAAATAAAGAATAGTTAGATTTAGGAGGTCTGTAGATTACACCAATAGCATACCTCACCTTATTTATATTTACCTCTATCCAAAGTTGTTCAACATAATCCATACTTTCGCTTATCAGAACTTTGAATCTTAAATTGTTTCTAATATATAAAAGAATGCCTCCACCCCGCTTATGAAGTCTATCGCATCTGACTAGATTATATCCATTAATTTGAAGTAAATTGTCATCAACTTCTGGTTTTAACCACGATTCAGATATGGCGAAAATGTTATATGATTTAGCTAAAATAGTTTGTTTTACTGAATTTAATTTTGATGTTAAAGAACCTACGTTTAGATGTCCTATAAAAATATACATTTTTAATTAGCTATTAATTAAAAATTAAGGGTAAATTCATTTATTTTACAGTGTAAATTAAATCTAATCTAATAAATAGTACAGAAAATTAATTTCTTTAATCAAAATTTTCAGAAGTATAAATTATAATCTTCGCATTAATTGTTTTTTGTACTTCTTAGGTTTTAGCAAGCGCGTTGCCCTCCACACCACTGTGTCCCGGAACCCAGATCAAAGTAACTTTGTTCCGGGCACCGAGACGTTCAAGGGTATTTATACAGTTACAAACCATCTTTGAGTCAACTCGATTAGAGCTCAGGACCTTAAGGGCTGCCAGGCTATCTGAAAAGATCTTTATAGTCTTGTTTGCGGGTAGAAAATTAATCAACTCTTGCGCTCTTAATTCTATAGCAATAATTTCTGCTTGGAAGATCGTGGCCAGAGAACCTAGGTTTATTGATATGTCAACTCTAGGCCTCTGGCCGAAAACTCCCGCTGCTACTCCTTTTTCAGTTTTGGAGCCGTCCGTGTACAACGCATAGTCTGGCTGGGAGAGGGTTTCCCCTCTGCTCCATGCGTCTGGAATGAGGACGCTGTATAGCTTTTCTATGTGCTGTCGGGGAACTAGCAAGTCCGAGACCATGCCGAGGATGAGAGGTGGTTAATAATTTCACTCATCAGCCCCAGCATTTACCCACCTTCAGGAGTCTGTAGGAGACCATCCTGGTCTCCCTTTCCAGCAGAACGTGGAGAGGGGTTAGGTCCAGCATGGCTCCCGTAGGTGTGGTTGACATTGTTTCAGTTATGGTGCGACACGCAAGCCGCTGTATTCCAGCCAGCTTTGCTCTAGCGTTCGTTGAAGTCCCTCCAGACGACAGAGCTGTACGTAACCATGGGTTTTACCACTGTTTGGTAAATCCAGTAGATCAGCTGAGAATTGATCCCCCATGCTTTGCCGCATATCCTTCTAAGGGTCCAGATGGATAATCTGGCTTTGTTAATGGTTTTACCCAATTGGAGGTTCCAGGTGAGTTTATTATTTAGGGTGAATCCCAGATATTTCACCTCCTCCGCAAAAGGAATTGTTTTCCCAGCCAAAGTAGGTTGTCGAAGCTTTCTTCTCTTTCGCCATCGTCCATCCTAGCAGGATATAGCTCCACGCCAGGCTTACCCTAAACAGCCTCACAAGGAGGGGTAGCAGGAGTTCCTGTCCTTTTTGC